CATTTATTTTTTTATTTAACTTGGAAGCATTGAGAACCTGAATGGATTCCTCTCTCTCTCTCTCTCTCTCTCACACACACACACACACACACTTGTCAACTTTGAAGGGTTTGGGGGCACAATCCATTCTGAATCTAATTGTATTTGTATATAGCATTAACACTGTAAATTTGAAACTCTATTTTTAAATACTCTGCTTTAATGTTTTAGAATAATATCGTCCCTAAAGTCGTAACCCCCCCCCCCCCCCCAGTGGCACAGCGGTATATTTGCGGACTTACAACGGTAGAAACCGGGTTTCAATACCCATGGTGAGCAGAGCAAACCTAGCCCATTGTGCAACTTTGTGCTTAACTACAAAGAAACAAATTAATAGATATTAATATATATATATATGTTCATAATGAGCATTTTCCTACAAAATTTACATTAGAAGCTTACTTAAAATGCTGTATGACTTTTGATCTGAAATGTTTTTGTTGCTTCATTTTTCTGATTTAAGTAATTGTAAAAATAGCACTTAATAATGTCTTTGAAAGTAAGAATGCACAGTCAAATGGTGAATTGAAAAACACTGTTAGAGCCTTGTGTTTTTTAGAAAGGAGAATTGTAAAACTTGGGTGTCGTGTCCTAATTTTATCTGTTATGAATAGGTTTCCATTTAAAAATGCTATCAAAATTTAAAGTCTATAACTAGAAATTTTTTGACTGTTACCGGCAGCCAAGCTTATTGACTCAAATGCATTCTATGAACTAACTCTTTCACGTTGTGATTGGTAGATTATCTTTCTAGTGATATATAGTGATGGGAAGTATTCTCATGATGGGCATGTGTTCAAACAGTTTAGGTGTTTCAACGGTATTTAATGGTCACTTCTTATGTGTTGCCTCCTTCACTGTAGAAATCCGACAGCTATTTTTATATTTAGTGTGGGTGTGTATTTTTATGTATCTGCTTCTTAATTATATGCTGTTATGTTTAGTTCCATATGCTATCTTGTACTTTATAATATATATTATTATTTAACTTGTATTTTTGTTGTAACATGTATACTTTGTTCCCACTATTAGCCACCTGAAAAGGCAAGTGATGGCATTAATATATATCCTTGGCAATACAAAGAAGTTTTCACCTTTGACATTCCTTTGAATGACACAGGTTCTGCGGGATTAGGGATCAGTGTCAAAGGTCACACATCGGTGACCCCTAGTGGACCTGTGGATTTGGGAATATTTATAAAGTCTATTATTCATGGAGGAGCTGTTTCCAAGGTTAGAAAATAGTAACTATAACACATAGTTATAGTTATAACACATAGTTATAATAGTTACATGTGAACTCGTTCCTTTAAAATTGGGTAATTTTTGCTCATCTTAAAGTACGTATATGTCAAATAGAGTACTAGTTATCATATTTTTAGTTCAGGTAATAAAAACTTACTTGAGCAGTTACATTACTACTAGAAACCAAAGCAGGTTTAACATTTGATGTTACATCTATGCAGATTACTTGTCATCATATGTTTTATATATAGGGTTTTTCGATGGAATTTTATTAAAACTAGTTACAAAATTCAAATGTTGGGAAAATAATTTGTAGTGGTAAGCACTGCCATATAGCACAACAGAAATGAGTTTTATATCCATAGGAAAATATGATTCAAATTTTTAATCCTTTATGTTTTAGTTACTATAATTTTCTTGTTTAGATAACTATAAATAGCATAACTTATAGTACGATTTTCAGCACCTTAATTATAGCTTTAGGGTTTACATAAACATTTTCTGAAAATTAATGTTGACCAGCTTTAGGGGTTACATAAACATTTTCTGAAAATTAATGTTGACCATTGAAATAAAATAAAATACTGTGAAAGAAATCCAAAATTAGCTTAAGCAACTTACAGAATTTCAATTTTGGGTGCTGCTGACTAGTTGCTATGGTCAGCAGTTCTAAATTAAGAGTTGTCCATGGTTGAACATTAGGGTCGTGATCTGGCCATTTAGTCCATGTATTATATAAAGTGCTATATAGTGAAAAATAGCCATACCACTATTATTTTAGATATGTGGGAAAGAGTTATAGAAAAGTGACGTTTAAGAACTTTCTGAATATATGCATTGTTTTACTGTAGTCTATAAATTTGCTATGTTGAAATTCAGTATTTATGTGGGTGGCAGTAAAGCTAGTAATCATGAAGTGAGGAAGTTATTTTTTTAGGTGATTGGTTTAATAGTTAATAGAATTTTAACAATTTAGACGTGTACAAAAGAGCACGTCTTTAACCAGTAAATGTTTCTTTAGATTTAGTTTTCATTCCCAATTAGAGATGTGTTTTTTAAGAGTATTAAATATAAGAATTATATACACCTGCATTTTAGTTTAAAAATTTTCTCCTCACCTGCTGTATTTTTTCTTTTTAAGGATGGCCGTCTTATGGCAGATGATCAACTTTTGAGTATTAATGGTATTTCTTTACTCGATATGACAAACACAGAGGCTTTGAAAACTGTAAGAAAGACTATGACCCAAAATGAAGGTCCAAATGTTTATCCTGGTGCTATCAGCTTAACAGTTGCTCGTATAATTGTATCATCCAGTGTTGATGAAGTAGGCAATGAAAACGATAGCTCAGTGTCTTTTAACGATTTAAATGACTCAGTATTTAGCTCAGGAAGTGACTCTAGATGTGGATCTGCAGAAGGAAGTTTCATTCACAATTCATTTGCCAAAACAGAAGACAGAGTAAGTGTAGAACCTGGAAAAAACTTTGAGGATGGTATGTCATTGGACCCCAGAACTGTTTGCACTCTCAACTCTAATTCAGATTTTGATGAAAACATGAATCAGAGAGAGAGTAAACATCTTGAGAAAAAGAATCTTGTCTTTAATCCTCCTCTTCTATCTAGCAGAAACCCTATGGTTGACAGGCTGACAGGGCAGGGATATTACAGCCAAACAAAACCAAGAAATACACTTCACAGTGAATCAGATCTGTGTGCAAGTCACGAAAATTGTAATGACCATCAACTTTACCAAGCTAGATGTGACCTTATTAAGTCAAATGGCCACACTGGTAAGAACACGGTGCAGGTTCCAACAGATAACAGGGTTTCTACTCACAATGAAGAAGCAAATCAGCTATTACATTCCAAGAACCATCCAGAATCACCTCATAACATACTTTCTACATTGGAAAATGAAGATAAGAAAGATGATAAAGTTGAATCAAAAGCTACCCAAAATAACACAGACAACCTGTAAGTTGTTACAAAAATCTTATCTGGTATTTACATTATGTATAAAATTTTGCCCTGTTTAATTTTGAATTAAGTCAATGAACCTGTATATGTACTAGAAAATGGAGAAACCAACAGGTAACACTGATTTATAAATATTCTTGACAAAAATTCAAAGGCTTATTTTACGTTTATTTATTTTATAATCAAGAAAAGTAACATTTATAGTTTCAAAGAAAATAATTAATGGATATCTTGTTCTGATGAAGACTTTCAGTGTGTCACAAAAGTGCCTTTTAAGCTTTGTGCTAGAAAAATAAAACAAATGCATTACCTGTGCATCTACCTTAATTACTTGTTAATAAGCTTGTATATTATTTATTTTATAGTCAACAAAAGTAACTTTTGCTGTTTTAAAATAAATTTTCTGTAGGATATCTTCTCCTGATGAAGACTCTTTTAATCTCTCTCGAGACGGTATTGGTCGACACAGTATATCAGAAAAACGGCATGCTAAGCTGGATGCTAGAAAAACAAATACTTTTAAGAGAAGTAAACGAGCGAGAGAAGAACAAGAACATCTGAAGCAGCATCAGAGAAATGATCAGGATAACCTGACAAGACATTTGCAGATAGTAGACTTACAATATAAGCAAAGTGTTCTTGAAAATACGCATTACAGAGATCAGTTTTTGGACAAAAGCCATGCTGATGGTGAGAGCTTTTGCATTAGAGAGTTACTGTTAAAATAGTTTTTAAAATGTTTTTGTGTTTAGTGTAGACACGACCTTTCATTAAGTATATAGCTTAAGACAGTAGTTTCCAAAGTTAAATCAAGGATGCTCCTCCCACTCCCACCCCTGACCACATCTTGCTCTCTAAGGCACACGCAAGGTGGGCCCTGGGCAACAGTTCAATTTACCCATTGGATAAAATGGTTCTGTGAATGCTTTTATTATTTAATATTAGCTTATAACATTAGTCTGAGTATGTAACAGTTGTTTGATGCAATTATGTGTCCTTTTGTAGAGATAAAATGACATCATAATAATATAGTTTTTAATTTACCTCTTTGAAACTATTTAATAATTAATCATGAGTTTTTTTTTCAGTGGTTTGAGATCTGCTGTTTTGAAAATTGTTCCAGGTCTTTTTCTGGATAGTCTTGGTACACCAAGTTGATTCACATTCCTTTGCTTTCCAATGCCATTAAGTGCAAGAGATATCCTTGTATTTGAAACTCTAAACCTCCGATATGAACACATGTTTTGAAAATTCCGTGTTTGATAGATAACTGTAATTATTCATACACAGAGAAATGATCCTGGTAATACTTAAATACCTGATTATCTGTTTATGTACCATAGCCTAGTGGATTCATGGTTTGCAGACCATAGCACTATAATTGCACAGTTAGGTACACTATAAAATTGAAGTCAAATCTTAATGTTTGATTAGAGAAAAGATTAGCCCACGAGTTGGTGGTGAGTGCTATTTATCAGCTGCCTTTCCTGTAGTCTATGGGCCGGTTGTTGTTGTTGCATAGCTTTGTACAAGATTCTGAAACAAGCCTCCCAGTGGCACAGCGGTATGTCTGCAGACTTACACCGCTAGAAACCAGGTTTTGATACCCGTGGTGGGCAGAGCACAGATAGCCCTTTGTGTAGCTTTGTGCCTAACTCCAAACAACAACAACTTCTGAAACAAATCAACTGTTTATAGGTAGTGACTGGTAATATGCTGTGACTTATGACAGAAATTCTTTATTTGTTAATATATATATATATAAGTTTAACTAAATATTAAATACAATTGTTAATTTCTCACAAATATCTTTGGATCCATCATTCAGAACCTCTCTTGGATTTTGTTTTTTAAATCTAAAGAATAACTTAACTTTTTTAACCAGTGACACTGTAGTTTTGTATACACACTTTAGAATAACTTAAGTTTTTAACCAGTGACACAGTAGTTTTGTATACACACTTCACAATATCTTAACTTTTTAACCAGTGACACAGTAGTTTTGTATACACACTTTAGAATAACTTAACTTTTTTTAACCAGTGACACAGTAGTTTCGTATACACACTTTAGGAGCCCGGCATGGCCAGGTGGTTAAGGTACTCGACTCACAATCTGAGGGTCGCGGGTTCGAATCCCTGTCACACCAAACATGCTCACCCTTTAAGCCATGGGGGCGTTATAATGTGACGGTCAATCCCACTATTCGTTGGTAAAAGAGTAGCCCAAGAGTTGGCGGTGGGTGGTGGTGACTAGCTGCCCTCCCTCTAGTCTTACACTGCTAAATTAGGGATGGCTAGCACAGATAGCCCTTGTGTAGCTTTGCGTGAAAATTCAAAACAAACAAAA